CCCCCCTCTTCCCCGTCCTTCGCCAACGGCTCTCTCGCGCTCTTGCAAAACTACCGGAGGATTCTTTCCTCGTTTCTCCATTTTTCCTTCGTCCCTCTCGGGGCGTCGGCAGAAACAAAGCGGATTCCCAGGCGTAATAAAGAGACTCCCGGTGCAAAAACGTATCACTGCCGGCCCGGTACCCCTTTCTACGTAGCCGCCACACCCAGGACACTCCCCCTCTCCCCTTCTCTTTCCTTAACTCTGCACATGTATACGTATACCTATATTATGTGCTCTATACTCTATAATCTTTTTTCCTCGTTCCTCCTCCACCACCTCCTCCTCCTATCCAGAAGGCGCATAATGACCGTCCGCGAGGGTCTCCCTGTGCATAACTCAAATCTAAACTTGTCCAATTGCTCCGGACTGCGATTTGGCCGTCGCATTATGCTGCCAAGTAATCTAAAGTTTTCCAAGAGTTCACCCGGTATAGCAACGTCGTCTACGAGACGGACCTGATAGGGCGGAATGGCAAAGTCCGGTCCGACCTCCACCTATAGGGTGCTTCACCGTCTTGCACGTTTATATGGATAATGCGCTAAGGTATACCTAGCTGATGTCACTCTAGTGCACCATGGGCACTGAGTATAGATACCTGCTGCAAGGATAGACTTGAGGAACGACTTGGGAAGACGACGAGGGGGATGCGCGGGCGAAGGAGGTACGTCGACGTATAGCGGTATACATGGAGGAAGTTGGCGTACGGCGTATTATAGAGGTAGAAGGTTAAAAATGCCTAGAAGACGGAGCGAGTCCAGTCTTGGCTGGCAGGTATAAATGAAGAGGTCGAGTGCGAGGCGCGACCTTTACGATTCCGCGTGGAATTTCAATTCCCTGTGTACTTGCCGCGCGCCCCGCGACGAGATACCATCTTGCAGCAGTGAGATTTAGCTTGGTCGCGCGACGGATATCGCGAAATGCTGTGCTGCAATAATTTTTAAAGACGACGTCAAGAGACAGAGTAGGACGCTTTAATAAACTGTGCACACGCCATAGCTACTGTCTAATAAACTCGAGACAAGTTGGGTACCTACTCTATATTAACCCGTGCTTTTTAATTATTCGACTACGTCCCCTCCAGTCTTCTCTCGCTTGGGTCTTGGAACCTACCCCCTCGCGCTCATATACGATTTTCATTTCGCGTTAGTCACTCTCTCTCTCTCTCTCTCTCTCTCTCTCTCTCTCTCTCTCTCTCTCTCTCTCTCTCTCTAGCCTCTCCCTGATATCTTGACTCTCGCGTGACCCTTCGTCAAATTGGTACGTGTATTTACGCAAGGGATGCTCATAACGTTTAATGGAATACTTTAGTCAGCCTCTTGTGAACTTAGCGAATCGTCATCGAGAGGACGAGATTCGAATGTTCCTCAAACATTAAACCACTTTTCAACCGGATCCCCATGCATGCCCTTTAAACCCACCTGCGTAATTTATGATTAGACAGAAATCTCCCTATCCGCACGATGAAGGGAGACGCGGCTCTCCGAAGGAGCAGTCCCAAGAATCTCGCGAAGGAAATGCCCATGAAGGTTTCCTTCGTCCTTAATTCGATAAAGAGTGAGCCAAACGCAATTATTTAGATAAGGGAGAGCACAGGGAGGAGAGGAGAGTGGAGGAGGCCTGGAAAGGGAGGCGGGACGCTACGTACGAATGGTAGACAGCCAGATAAAGACAGGGAGAGGCTGTAGCGCCAAGATGAATCTTATTAGCGCAATTTATAACTTGGCAGAGAAACTTAAAGGCGCCGGCAGCTTCTCCCTCTCAGTTTTCTCACGTCTCTCGACTGTAATCACGAAAACCGTTTTGTCAGGCATCACTTTACGTGCGGCCTCCCTCAAGAGTCCCAATGTTATCCGAGGCTCGCAGTCCCATAACGCAATCGCGTCTCGCGCTGTATAAGCTGAACGTACGAGCACATCGAGTCGCGACCAACTGAGCAACGTAACGGGCACGGTAATTCACACGGGATACATTGAGTAAAGGAAAAAGAGAACAAAAAAAAGACACAAGCGCGAAGAATAGAATGGGGTCTCCAATTACGCGTAATGATGTAAAATTGTCGGGCGATAATGGGTCTCAGCCTCTGTACGGGCAACACGTGTTCCCTATTAATAGGCATGTACCGTTTTTACTCGCTACCCGACAAGATAGAACGAAACGAGCGGATCGTGAAGAAGCACGGAAAAGGCCAGGGACGACACCATAGCGTAGACTCGAAGCGTCGAGATGGCGCTTGTCAAGCTAAATACATGCTTTTTTCTCAATCTGTTAAAAGCAAGAGTGAAACAGTATCTCGTGTCATCGGCGTCTCCTGTCGCCCTGCTCCACGCGACGTCTCCTCTGTATACGCGTTATACGTGCACTGTACTAAATGTAGAATCACATGTTTCCGCATACGCTCGATTCTGTCAGGTGAATACGAAACACAGTACCTGGAATATACAAGGTATTTAGATTCTACTTTGGAAACCGCTAGCGGTGAATTCGTTCGTGCTCGAGAAGTGGCATAGCGAGAATTCACGGTACGTGGGGGGTATAAGACGCCACCGCTTAGTGGGACGAATTGAGAACCTTAAGGATAGGTGGCCGTGCAGTAAAAGGTGGGTAATGGGAACAAGTGATATGTGGCTGGTGAACTTATCGTTCTGATCGATCAGACTCGGCGGCCGATATTTCTACTCTATAATTCTCGTAGCGCGAAGCCTGCAGCCGAGTATGGTATATGGAGCTTACGTGTACCTGGAATGTCGAACTATACCAAAGTTATCGTACGTGAAAACTCGGAGGGTGACGGTCCGGGTGCTTTCTTCGCGTAAGTCAAAGATCGCACGGCGGTCCTGCTGCGGTTTAATTGGAATTCTTTTCCAGGGTTTCGCATCCCCGCTGACGGGATTAAGGGTGGGAAGAATGGGACAGAGAGTAACGGGGGCACTATAGAAAGGAATGGAAGCTTTAGAGCCAAGAAACCATCGAGGCACATATACCCAAGCAACGTATAAAGCTGTAGCACTGTGCTAGCTGTACGGGATGCTACCCTTAAGTACAACGGATAATATTACAGCTCCTATATCCAGCTTGCCGATCCACCCTAACTGTCCTATGTTTTTATTAAGACCATGCTCATTCTTTGATCTACGGGTTCTTCCCCAGCCAATCCCTGAAGCACTGACCAAGAAGACGGTCCTTGATCATCTTCCCCGAAGTGCCCTCCTGTATCATCCTACCCACTTCCACCGGACTAAATCCTCGACAAAGAAGATAGCCGGGCTCTCTCCTCCACGGGTCTCCCGAGGATCCTTACGTTAAGCGATACGCGTTAAGCGTCCTTAGGTAGTCCCGTGCCCCGGAGGCAGGTCTTAACAACCTCAGATGGAAATTGAGAGGCACCTGTAAGAAACCACGCAGTAGGTGGGCCCTTCTCTTAATTATTCCAGGTACAATCTGATCGGGAACTTTCACGTGTAGCATGTATCGTGCTCTTGCCCCGTAGGTTCTACGATCCTCAGCACAAAGTTACCTCGATCCTGGCCGAACGACATGCACAAAGTGAGAGTAACGGGCACGTTGCTATCTATGGCGGCTTCCCGATAACGGATGATAGGTACGTGTACTCACGGGAATGGCGACGCAGTCCTCGAGTTCAGCGAGTGGCGCCTCCGAGCAGAATGTACCCTCCGTGAGAAAGGGCGGTCGTGGCGGCGGTGGCAACCTGAACTCTGGGGGTGGCCCAGGGCACTCCGGACACTCGGTACTCTCCAGCGTCTCCAGCTCTTCCATTCTCCTCCTCAGCGTACTGAAAACCACACAGAAAATCAGCCCTCCTATTAATCTCATTGCCAGTCCGGCTAATCGAACCGTAACTCAGTAGGTACCGCCTTGTGCTTCCTCTCGCACTACGTACATACCTAAGTATAGCATTACCAACCCCCTATGTCCCTATACCATGCTCCTCTGTACTTATACAGTAAGAGTCTTTACTATAGACATCTCTTTTTATCCCTTTCACTCGTCCAGATTGTCTCAGTCTCACGAGTCAACACATTTTGCCGCACGGTTATTTGGAAATGGTTGGGGACCCCGCAGCAAGACGACTAAACTTCCCACGACGGAGGGAAAAGAATTTTCAAAGTTTACCGATCGATGTCGACAAAAAGTAAATAAACCGAACTGAAGCCTTGTACATTACTACGGCACAAAGTCAAACGAAGATAGGAAGTTCAATATTCCTTTAAAGGGAGTCCGTGCACATTTTTTGCAAACGGTGCGAGGCTTTAAGCCGAATTGATACAGTCGGTTCGGCATGCTCGTTTCCACTGTATTTCCCTGGCTAATTAAGAGATACACGTCTGGTCCATCAGTAACCAAGGGGATAGAGTCGGCCGTTCCACGTAAACGGGGTAAACGTGCGGTTTTTCTGTTAGGTACGTGGCTGGATCGCGATCTCGTTAGCATAGGAAGCACCTTGACCCGCTTGGGGTCAAGTCGTTCCAGTCGGTGCCACAGCTCACAGGGCCAAGAAAGGAGAGCCGGTATGCTAATACCAGGACTTAATTACAGTCTCATAATGAATCAGTCACGCCTGACTTCGGCCTTCTCTCCTTCCGTACACACCGCCGATTAATTGCTCTCCGCGCTTTTATCCATTGGAAAGGCCTCTCTCGTAGCTATAGTTATAGCGGTACGCCCTTATAGCCTCTGGTTATAGTTTCTAGTAATAATCAGAGACAGTGGACTGACTGTCACGCATGGAACAAACCTCCACCTTTGATATGGAAGAGAGCCTATATATAATGTAGGGAAGCTATAGCTTCCCTTCACTTCGTTTTTCACCATGATCGATTGGAACTCTTGTCGTATCCGAAGTTTGGAAACAGGCCTATCGTGTTACCCTGGGAAACGAGGAATGGAGAGGGCTTGCTCGAATCAATCATCAATTGAGTCATCCTATCTGGACTCCACACACACCTACACTATAGTCAATAAATTTTCATATTCTGAGATGATTCCGGCTAGAGTGCATATGGCTTATGGGATCAATGGACTTCTAACTATTGTATCGTTCAAATTATCCACACACTAGATATCAGTTAAAATGAGTACATGACACCTGCTAGGTATTAGGTCTATTTTTCAGTATCGGTATAATGGCACGATAAGGACGGCTTACAAATCCTGAATTATTAAGGTTTTCGTTAATGCCTTTAGCGGCTTTATGATATTTTCAAAAAGTTATGTAATACGAGTATCCGTGTCATCTGGTGAAAAGATGAGAAGGAATGACTACCCGAACCATATACCCGCATCAAATCGTTTAGGACTTACAAGAGGATTAGTGTCAAGATGGCGGATCGTTATGTACAAAATCCAAATGCTATCAGCCGTATCGTGTGTTCGGTAAGTCGATGTCTTAAGGAGGATGCCGTTGACAGTGTTCCAGAGAGGAGTTGAAGATAGTCCAGGTGAGGTATCGAAATTGTATTTTTCTCTCACGACTATTCCCCGCAAACGTACAGAGCGAGGAACGAGAGCGACGGGACAAATCTAAGAGATGCAAGAAGAAAAGAAATAAGAAAAAAGAAGGCAGTACGTCTACGCTCAGTTTAATAAATGCAGCTTTCCTTCCGTTCCGTTTCTTGGCTCAGACTGGCTTGGGTGATGCCTCCTGGTATCCCCATCCCCGTCCTCGTCCTCATCCTTAACTTGGTCCTCGTGCTCATTCAGATGCAGAGTAGCGCAGGACCAAGCAGCAGCGCACCAACCTTAAGCTATACGTACTACCCGCTACTACCGGTATCCGGGATGTACCAGGCCAAAATCTTGAGTACACGTGATTTTTTTATTTCACTCCCTTTTCTACGGTGAGTGAAATTTTATCAGATTATTCGTTATTCGTATAGAAGCCACTACGCGGTCTTTTACTAGACAATTGTACGTCCTGACTGTATATCTGGGTCTTCCGCAAGACTACGTAACTCAGGTTCTCTCTAAAACGGAAGTCAAGTATGATCTAGTATCCCTTGAAATCTCGAGACTGGAAAAGCCCCTTGCTACATGTATTATATGGAGTTAGATATACATATGTGGGGAAGCAGTGACAAAAATTGTATCACGATTAATTCAATGAATTTTTTCTTATATAATAAATCGCATTGAAAGCAAACCTAAAGCTCAGAGAATCAACGAAAAATAATAGTCGTTCCGTTACGTCCTTTATGCTCGTGTAACAAAAGACGTACGTACAAGGCATCTAGAATATCCTCCAACGAAACATAACCATCTTCTTGTACGACACGCATACCAAGCTTACTTTCTGTTTATTGAAATCTCGAGTTATTCGTGGAATCAGCAATACCATTTTCGACGACAAAGTAAACAAAGAAATCCTGACGAGAAGAATCCTACTTGTGTCTTTCGAAAACTCTACTGCTGCGCCCCACCGCGGCTTCCCGCAAAACTATCTACGTCATACGTACACCCCAAGCAAAAACACGTTTCGGCGATACACTTTTCAGTACAAGACCAACATACGTAAAACCCAACGGCATAAGATCCTATAAACTGTCATCGATCCTTGAAATAACTAAGCCCGTAGCTCGGAATTCCACATAGTCGATTTCCTTCGTCCGCTCGAATTATCCAGCAACGTAAGCAGCCAGTAAATCACCAGCAGTGAATAGACAAGGAAACTCAAGGTATTAGCCAGCCGATCATCGGTATCCAGGATTGCTAAACCAGGACCAGACTATAAACCATGTCGGAAGCGTAAATCCAACAAAGCCCGTACGACACTAGCCAAGCGTTTTATCTATTACTGCACGTGGGTGTTTGCCACCCACGTCTCCACCTCCTATCGATACCCCTCTTGAAGTACAGTTCAAGAGACTCGCGTCGCGTACAGCATCTTTCTCGAATACCCGTGTTATATATACGTTGCCCGATATTTTTTTATCCTTTCAAATCAGTGACGTCATACCCTGTCACATGTCGCGGATCGTACGAGAATACTGTCACGATCACGAGGAATATGCTCGATCAACTGGGACACGTTAGAAAAGCCTGAGGACGCGGAAGATCCTGTGATGTCAGCGGGTACATACATTACATAGGTGTGCATGTATATCGTTGCGGCGGTGCATCGAGGTAAATAAGGTAAAGACAGGCCACGAAACACGATACTCTCGGCCCTTGACAAATATACACGAAGGAGACACGCTTCGGGGAGTACAATATTATAACTGCACGTATACTATACATCTATATACAGTATGTAAAAGGGATAGCAGGATACACGTTACCCAGTGGGTGATAAGTGTATTGCACGGTGAAGATGTAAACTGACGTACCGAAAATATATATAGCGAGCATATCCGGATGTCTTAAGGAAATGGGAGGTCTTTGCGAAACACCCCACTAGCACGATTAGGATATAGAAGGACGCGTCCCACAAAGACGCTCGATTTCAAAAGCTCAAGGGATAAAAACGTCTAAGGATTTCGACGCCTCGAGACTGGTCCGCCGAAAGTGGATCCCATGGCAAAGGTAAATTGGCTAAGGGAGGACCAGCCCTCCTCGAAGGGGCTCACGTAACCCGCACCCGTGCGTGGTCGGTGTAGCGAGAAATTTACGTAAAAAAAAAAAGAAAGGAAATTGGCGCAGGACGAATTTTCGCAGATAAAAGGATGCGTGGGACAAAAAGAGCTAAATAAAATATGTAGAGAGCCCCGTGCTTTCACGTGGTGAACGGAATTCTAAAGGGAGCAAAAGAGCGAGAGGGACGTCTCGTGCTGTCGGGGTCATTTCCATAGTTTCCATAGTTTCCATCGTGACGAATAGACGCGGGGTGAAAATTTGCCTAATGTCGCGTAACGAGCGCATAGGGGTCCGTCGCGAATGCTCGCGTTATTTCCCAACGAATACAAATCCCGCTGGCTCGGACGTCGTGCGTCGTTGCGGCTCGGCTGACACCTACTATAATTTCATTATGAAAATGCCGGAGCTTTGCGCGGGGACCCGTGTGCTGCAGTGCGGTCCAAACGGGAGCTACGGGCTGCGATTTTCCGAGCTCGTCTAGACCGTAGAAATTTCATAACGCGACCGCCGACTGTCGGTTGTTTCTGGGAGAAAATCCTGGGCGGCCGCCGCGCTTTGGCTCGGCTTACGTATCTCTCCGTAGAGGCAACCAAGAGTCTCTGATGATCGCGCATGATTTTCTGTCCCTATACTTGGATAGGATCAAACACTTCCTCATAACCAGTAGATATATATATATATATATATATATATATATATATATATATATATATATAATATTGCTAGTTTCCGTTTTCTTTGTTATACCGGAAACTGTTCGTTAAAGTTATTGCAGAGAAGGACGGAGGATTCGTCAGGTAATTATCAAGCAATTACGAAGAGCCGCCAATAAGGGGGAAAAACTTTCTAATTGATCGTTAACGAACGGATACGCGCAAGCAGCACGAATATGTATAGGAATATTGCCGATGTCTATGATTATGCATGCTGAGAACTTTCCGGGATATTCCGTTGAGGTGGTGCTGATAAAAAGACCTATAGAGAAAGCACTGAGAAAATGTGTCTATGAGCAACCGTGTATAACGAAGGATGAACATACAGATTTATGTACGTATACCGGCACAGTGTACACTGAGGTACGTACAGCATCAAGGGAGCAACGAACAGCTACTAGGTGTCGCATTATTTCAGCATTAGCTTCGCTCACCCAGCTCGTATCTTCTAGTTAAGTGATACCAGCACACGTGCCTACCCCCGGTACGT